AGAAGACGAAATCTTCACCCATCTAGGCCAACTAATTCCTAGACATGAGGACTATACTGAAATTGTACAGCTTCTTGTGTCGCAGTCTCTTACTGGTACGCCCACTCTCACATTTGTCCTGTTTCTGACGGAAGACTGCTAATAGAGCATAGACTCGGTTGCGCCTTATGCATACCACAACCTGTTTTCCGAGTACCCGGACATTCTTCCGGATTTTTCTAAGCTTTCGTTGATTATTCACTCATTGGGTGGCTCTGACGTCCCTGATGCACTCCTCAAGAGCGTGCGATCACCCCAACGGCGGTGGAACCCTGACGGCGAGATCGAGAGCAACCACAGCACAGACTCCGGCATATCTTCCGAGATACTGGAGCTTCTTTCAAACGACGATCGTCTGGATCATGCTGCTACGGACCCAAATATTATAAGACAAACACTAAATGATGGTACGGTTAGCTGGTCCATCAGCCCTGAACAGTCATCATTGTTGGCAGGCGTATTGTTACCCGAAACGGCGGAATCTTTGGCGTTGCTTGGACTGAAACTCATCTGTTACGCTTGTCCGCCATGTTATGAAGGGAATACTTCATGGTATGCTGCACGCCTCCTCCATATTCTGTCTCTCGAAGGCGTTCTTATTTTTAACCCGAAATTCACAGGTCGTCTCAAGTGAAGCAAATGGTGTGGACATTGCTTGACAAAGCACTGGAACGACCAAAAACAGCCGCATCTCTTAGATCTCAAGTGTTAGATGCTATTTTATACTTCTGCGAAAGAGATTCGCTCGCCATCCGCCGCCGGGCCGTTGAGAGGGCACGGGTGCTCCTCGTCAAATCAGTGCCGTATTATCTGCATGCTTCCGTTGCCCTTTTTCAAAGCCTCCTATGCCGAATGGATGTAGATCTCGTTCAGTCTGACTTTGTGATTCGCGACTTTCTTTGCAAAAGTCGACCACCAGTTAGTCGGCGCGATGACGCTTTACGAGGTCGACTTCACATATCGCATATCGAGAACATGATTCAACGGTTCGATGATGATGTGGCGTCCAGCATCTATGAATGGCAGGGCACACACCCCCTATCAGCATTAGAAATCGACGTAACAAGACGACTCCAGGGATTGGCGGCCAAGTTCTTCCAATCCATCGGTGATTTTGAAAAGTCACGCGATTCTCTGGAACAATACCTATCCCTCAATCCGTCAGAGCCTATCACAGTAAGAATGCGTCGACCGATTGTGTCAAGGCTTACCGATACACACTGCGAGATTGGCGACTACCATAGAGCATTCAAATTGATCCAACCCGAGATTGCCAACATCGCCGACAAGGAGAAGCGGTCTCGTCCAGTGCGCCGCCTCCTTCTTGCGTCAGTTGAGGCCAGCATTGGACAGGGCAGACTCGACGAAGCTGAGTCAACCCTGCTGGAGCTGGCCGAGGCTGAAGCCCCCGGGCCTGACGATCTCACGGACCAACTCATGCATATGAGAGGGGTCATTGCCAGAGCGCGGGTTGCCCACGAGCGGGAGGATTTTGAAGAGGCAATCCGCCGCTGGAGCTCTGCGCTGGAGGAAAACGCACGCCTTGAGCAGTTCAACCAAAGATACCAGTTCACCGCGGCTGTGCTTTACCTATCACTAGCACACGCGTATCTTTCGGCCGGGGATGAGACAAGCGGTAGGAAGTCGTGGGACATCGCCGCGGGTATAGTCAAGACGCAACGGTGTGAATTCTGGCTGCCTGTGGTTGCTTCACAATGGCTGCGGAAAATAGTTAACTCAGTCCACGAGATGACGGGGTGGCCCTTCCGCATAATGTTGCCCGGGAGGAAACCAGATATGACATGGGTGTAATCCGAACGAACTATTGATAAAATATGAGTGGAAAGGGTGTGGTGGTTTCTCGACGAGAAGGCGAGAACTGCGCTCGCATGGTCAACTACCTCTTCCAGACGACGCACCAGAACAAGCAACTAATTGGAACATAAGTTAGAAGGTAACGCAATGTCGTTTAGACTTTTTCATTAAGTTATCTATACGATCTAAGCGATGTGATTTGCAGTGTTGCCATGCTCATAACTGGGGCCATCTGCCCAGGGATTTTTAAGAGGGGCGCTTTCTCACGGTGAGAGAACTGCTGGACGTAGGCCATGCCGAGAACGAAAATTAACGACCAGCCAAGGGCAAATAATCCAGGCTAGAGGGCCGGTGTCGGCCTCTCTGTCCGTGCTGTCGTACCCCTAGTATGATCTATTAGCTCATCAAAAAGCCGCAAGAACAGCCGTACAAGGCCTCGGCACCGATCATCTGATAATTATTTAAAAGTTTCCAAGACAATACACGCAAACGAACGAACTATTGGGAGGAAATACGGAGGAGTCGTGCTGGCCGGGCCAATAGTGAGATAAAGCGATTGCAGGGGTTGAGGGGCATCTAGATTTCCTCACCGTGAGAAATTTGAGCAGAGGCTATTTTGCCGTAGAAAAACTTCTCATCTGTTTTAGCGCCTTTCCGGCCAGTGGGTAACACGAGCAGGTTTCTCCGCCATGATTGGTCTTTTGCCCCTAATGGCTTCAAGGTTCCGAGTCGACCCAGTCACTTCACAGATTTGATTTGCTGCTGCCCTGTCTCGCGTATGTGAGACCGGTTCATGTACGCCTTGGTGACATCTTATCAATCTGATCAGGCACTCCACTCCGTGTCATGGCCAGATTCAGCTCCACGCTCGAATTTTTCTCGACGCCCACTCTCACCGTGCGAAATCGTCCCTTGTCTTAACGGGTCCGGTTCCGATTGATAATGGGCTGACGCCTCTCTCTGTTTTAGCATCTCCAAGGATTGATAAAGGCTCCTTATTCCCTTGAATCTGATCCTGATTCTTCTGCCTCATCAGCCGAACCATCCTTCGCGCATTCTCCCCCCTGCAAGGCTTTCCAGCCCTTCTTGTCTACTTGATACCCACGTCTTACCATCACACCTTGGCTTGAAATGGCCCACATCCAAAAGGATGACGCCGCCAGACATGACGCCGAGCAGCAGGTGGACATGAACGAGAAGGCTGGCGTCCGGGTCGTGACAGAAAAGGAGCCTTCTGAAGTCTCCAGCGGCCCTCCATCAGACGCACCTGCTCCCGTCCCGCTCTCGTGGAAGCTTGCCTCTGTCCTCCTTGTGACATTGATCTGTTTCGGATCCAAGTGGAGCTCCGGCATCACGGCGGCGATGAAGACGACTATGAAAAAAGAGCTGAAGATCAACAACACCCAATTCGCACTGCTGGAGGCCAGCGAGGATTTCATGACTACTTGCCTGATCCTAGTCAGCGGCCTTGTCACCGACCGCATCGGAGGTGCTAGTATGTAGCTCATCAATTGGTTTCTTTCAGCGATTTACTCCGACCGACAGGCTAATATTGTGCTTCTAGGAGCCATTTTGTACGGCAACGCGATTTATTCCGTCGGTTCCATCCTCGTGGCAGGCGCCGCGCAATCCCGCTCGTACAAGTTCATGATTGTGGGAAGAATCATATCTGCCCTCGGTGACATCTCCACTCAGATTGCCCAGTACAAGGTCTTCTCCTCTTGGTTCGCTCCCGGAAATGGCTTTGCATCCACTCTTGGTCTTGAGCTCGGCATCGGCAAGATTGGTGCGTTCGCCGGAAAGTCGTCGTCCAATATCATTGCCAAAAAGACTGGAAACTTCGCCTGGGTCTTTTGGGTCGCCGTCTTCATGAACCTCTTCACCAACGTCATGACCGGAGTCTTCTACTGGTTCACCAAGGTTGCTGACCGCAAGTATGCCGGCGTCAACGACCCTGCTACGGGCGAGAAGTTGGCAGAGAAGAGCAAGAAACTCGAGATCAAGAAAGTCCTTCAGATGCCTTGGCCTTTTTGGTGTGTTCTCCTGTTCTCTCTGTTTGAGACTAGTGCCGCCATTGTTTTCTCCCAGAATGCCACCGAGCTCGCTGAGCAGAGGTTCAAGACGGACCCCATCAATGCTGGCTGGTACAGCTCTCTCTCGCAGTACGCCGGTATGTCTTTGATAGAACTGATCAAACTTTGTAGAGATAGCGCTAACAAGCTCTAGGGTTCTTCATCGTTCCTATTTTGGGAGTTTTCATCGATGTCTGCGGTCACCGTGTTAGCACTAGTAAGTTATTCTGCTACCTTGTACAAGAAAACCCTGCAGCCAGTATATTAACATCCTGATAGTGGTATTCTGCGGTACTGGTGTTTTCATCGCTATGCTTCTTGTCACTTTCTCGGCTGGTAAAGAAGGCGCAGCTGCTTCTTTCGGTGTCTTCGCCTTCGCCTTGTCCTTTGGCCCTACATCCATCATCGACAGCATCCGCACCAGCATGTGGGACAGCAACTACTTTGGCACTGCCTATGCGCTGAAGATTATGATGAACAACTCGTAAGCCTGGCTCTTCTACTTATCTATTATCACGGAAGCTAACGCGTGATGTGAAAACAGTATGAATATCATTGTCCGTGTCATCACTGGTAGAATCCAAGACGCAGACAACAACTCGTACGATAGAGTCACGATCGTATACACCGTATTGGCCGGCTGCTCTGTGGCAGTTTCGTTGGTGCTCATTCTCCTCTCCTGGCGATCTATTGACCTCCGACAGCTGCAATGGGGCCGTAAGAAGCGCATTACTCGTGGAGACCTGATCAACGAGAGGAAGGCTAGATTCTGGGGGGAGAAAGGAGAGACTAACAAGAAGATTTCCATGTTCTGTTTCTCTCTTCTCTGCCTTCTCACGCTCGGAGGGTGGGTTGCCTACTTTTGGGGTGTGGCGACTGGAAATAATTCTTAGAGCAAGATGCAGGATGGATGGATAGACGAGTTGGGCTAGGCGGTGGAAATTATGGCTTCGAAATAACCACACAACTAATTCAAGAGGGAAAACCACTTTCATTCAATAGCAGGTTTATTCTGATGCCTCCTAAGCAAGTAGCCTCTCACCAGCGTCTATCTGATACCATACATGTGATGGGTCATAGCCCAACAAGGGTTTGATTCTCCAGGTATCTCTCATGGGCATCCTCAATCGCTCGAGCCAACTCTTGGCAAGGCTCGCTGACAGGAAGTGAAAGAGATACGGTGTCTATCAAAATCCCTATAGCCGTCCGTCCGTGTAGGGTTAGATGAGGATCTGCACCTCTTTCGACAAGATCCAAACAAAACGCCCGGAGATCTTCCCTCATATTAGTCACATACAACTTCGGGGAATGCTTCATCTGCTTAACCCTCCTCCGCACGCTGCTGAGGATTCTATGCAGAGCCCGGCTCCCCGTATCATCTTCATCCCAAGGCAATCCCGTACCATTATAGATCCTCCTCAGCGCCAGAATATGTTCTTTGCCGAGAAACCCGTTAATGTCCGCGCCCGCAGCCTGGATACGATCAAGTATGAGGCGTTGGTATGATCCGAAGCACTCAATGCGCTCGGACATGGAAAACATGACGCTGCTGAGGATCGCGTCTTTCATGTACTGGTCTGTCGAGCCCGACTCTACCAATGCGCGCGTACCCCTTTCTACTGGATATGTGCTTAGCAGCCATTTGAAGTCATTGGGATGCACCTGAGATTACCATGTTTTGGTTAGCAATATATCCTGTAGGCGGGCGCAGAAGTGGCCCAACACCACGGACTCACCTGTTGCGCCCTGTCTACGATGAGACTGGCGATTGTCCACCACGCAGGTGGTGCCTCTTCTGGGTCATCAAACAGACGGGAATCGCCAGGCCGTTGCTTGCTCTGCTGTGACTCGTCCCCAAACTCAGTCAGGATTTCCAACGACCGAGTGGCACCAGAGCCTAGTTCGACCAAATAGTGAACTGTGTTGAACAATTGCTCTTCTCCTAATCCCCTCAGATCCCACTTGTATAACAAGATCTCCACCGCAGATACATGTGCAACTGGATTAATCTCAGACTTCTCCATCCACGCCCCCTTGACGTCAATCTTTTCAGCCAAGTCTACACTCGCGCCCCTCTCGATAAAGTAGGCGATACCATTTTGGGGATCCAGACCCGTGTTGACCGGCCAGCGCTGTATCTCCTCGAGGTAAAAGAGCAGTGGTGTCATCGCAAAGAATTTGCCCCACGCTAAATTTATGCTCATGAACGTGTTGCCTAGGAAGGCAGGGACTATCATATTGATTTCGGCACCAAGCCCCAAACAGAGATCCATCATGTCGCAACGTCCAGTTCTGGCCATGCGCGAAGCGGCGGCGAATATCGGTATATGGCCCGGGCGGCGATATATGAATGGGTCGTCGGGCTTGTGGTGAAACTTGCCAAAGCACTCCAGTCGGCCTTGGACATCCGCGCCTTTCCCGATGAGAAGCTCAAATACAGGTACAGACCCCATCTCAATAGCTTGAGATAACGGCGAGCGGAGCGTGGTCTTGTCTGCTCCACGGGTTACGCTGTTTGGGTCGCCACCCTTGTCGATGAGAGCTTCCAAGAGGCTGAGAGATGCCCCTCGACGCATCAGCGCGACAAGGTTTATCTCGCCATTTACGATTGTCAGCAGTGGGCTTGATGCGGATTCCGCATCCATCAATCTTCGTAGCATGGGCTCACAGGAGCTTCTCCTGACAGCCTTGGCTAGAACCTTCTGCTGCGACTTGTTCAGGGAACCGGGATTTGCTCCGATGTCCAGTAGCGCGATGAAGGCTTCATTGTGCTTTCTTTTGGCGGTCAGTACCAATGTAGACAACTCCTCGACCTCGGGGCCAATTATCATGTTGCTGTGATTCGGGTCCTCGAACAGCTTGGTGTCGGAATGGTCCACGGTGATGATGTCGACATCGGCCCCGTGGGACAAGGCTGCGCGGATAAGACGTACATCGCCGGTCTTGCAGGCGATTAGCATGGAACGGCTGCAGGCTGGGGGAGACCGGAATAGGGCGTCGAGAGTTCGGTAGGAGAGCTGGGTGCTGCATTTCCAGAGGTTCACCAAATCTGACGCCACCAGATGGTCCAGGATGGCGTCGAGAATCTCATTTGGGATCAGCTCAATTGGCGCAGTAGGGGCCAGTGGGGCTGCCATGGCTGAGACGGTGAATTGGAAATATTGTTGAATCAGAGCGTTACTATTCGGAGAATCAAGCCAGTTAAATAAGAAAAACTCGCCGCCGTGTTGTAAAGTCGAAAAGAGGTTGAGCGGCATGAAACGTGAACTAACGTGAGGGGTCAGCACAGCAGGCACCAGCCACATCAGGCAGAAATCACAATGATGACAGTGAGTCACGCAGTGTTGCCCTGGTGCCAGCCACTGCAATACGTTATGAATGGTTTTGCAAGTGATTTGGTCTCCTATTGAATGCCCTATGATTTTACTGAGAAATAACATCTAATTAAATTACATTTGCGCAAGGTAAGCATCCGCATCCAACTCCTTCAGCTTTTCAGCCTTCTTCAGAACCTCCTTCTCCATACCCAGCTGGTACTCAACCATCTTATCATAATATTCAGGCATGAATGAACCCAGAATCCGGATAGCGAGAAGGGCAGCATTTGTGGAATTGTTGATTGCCACTGTGGCCGTGGGGATACCTCTCTAAAGTGGTTGTTAGCTCTTAGTCCTGTTAACATTGAACACGTGGAAATACGTACAGGCATTGAAACGATTGAGAGCAAACTGTCCCAACCTTGCATATGGGTGGCCTGGACGGGAACACCAATCACGGGCAAGGAAGTATGGCTGGAAACCATGCCAGGCAAGGCGGCAGCACCACCAGCTGCGGTGATGATAACCTTGATGCCACGAGAAGCGGCATCCTTGGCGACCTGTGCCATCTTGTCAGGTGTTCTGTGGGCGCTTGTGATGTCCAACTCGTAGGGGCAGTCGAATTTCTTGAGAATGTCAACGCCGGCCTTGAGAACCTTGAGGTCCGAGTCTGATCCCATGGTGACCAGGACAAGCGGCTTGCCCTTGGGACGGCTGGCAACCTGCTGAGGTGCGGCTTGTTGGGGCCGAAGACCCTGTGCAGAGGCGTCGTTGCGCTCTTTCCTCATGCTATCGGCAAGGGCAATGAGAGGTTGCGCGTATAACTCCAGTTCCGCGATGGAGCAAGATCCGGTTAGTGTGATGTGGCCGATTTTTCTACCTGGCTTGGACTCCTTTCCGTAAAGATGGGGGTAGACGGAGGTTTTTCTCGAAAACATGGACTTAGCTTTCTGAACGAGCTCGAAGTGGGAATCAGGACGCAGGCCTCCCAGAATATTGATCATAATACTTGAGTCCACAGACGCTTCGAGCTCCTCTGGGAAGGGCTCATCCAGGATGGCAGTAAGCTGCGCCTTAAACTGGGACATGTATGGAACAGCCTCAATCGACAAATGGCCGCTGTTGTGAGGTCGGGGGGCGATTTCGTTGACTAACACGTCGCCTTTGCTAGTCACGAACATCTCGACAGCGAAGACACCTCGTCCCCAAAGCTTGGCCACGACGCTGCTGCCCACTTCTCTTGCCCTCTGGGCGACCTCTGGAGCCACACCGCGAGGGGGATAGAACACCTTGGAGCACACGTTGTCCTCGTGGATGGTCTCTACGACGGGGAAAGGAATGACTCGCTTGGTGTTACCCTCGGCGTCCTCCGTGCGGACAACCATGACAGCAAGCTCGCACTCGAAAGGAACCCATCGCTCGGCATAGCAGGACAGCGAGCCAAAGTCCTTGATGGCGATTTCGAAATCGGTAGGACTGGAGATCTTCAGGTTGCCGCGTCCATCATAAGAGTCCTTGCGAGATTTGAGCATCCAGGGGAAGCCGAACTTATCGGAAGCCTCCTTGAGAGAGGACTCCATGATAGCGTCGGAGCCGGTCTTGATGGCGATTTGATCCGCAACGGGAATACCCTGGCTGGAAAGATACTCCTTTTGATCAAACTTGTCTTGCACCAATCTCAGAGTGCGCCATGAAGGGTGGATTGTGACTTTCTTTGTGGTAGCCGCTCCATCAGAGCCGGTGATCTGGACGCCCTCGGCGTCAATTTCTTCCAGAACCTTGGTGTCGATATGCTCGATCTCCACAGTGAGCACGGACGAGCTCGCGGCCAACTCTCTAATCTTTGCCGGGTCCTTGAAGGAGCCTGTGACGTTGAGAGGGTTGCTGTTGATCTGCTTTGCGGGTGCGTTGGCGGCATCGAGAAGTGCAATCTGGACATCGAGGGGTGAGGCGGCCTCGACGAGCATTCGACCAAGCTGGCCAGCGCCCAGGAGGCCGATAACGGGAGGGGTACTGGGGTTGGCCATGGTGCGTCAAATGGCGACGGGCTTTGCGAAAGGAGAGGGAGCACAGTCAATTCAGAATGTTAGAGGGGGCGAGAGATGAGGGAGGAAATAAATTGTGCAAATGGTGGCGAGATGGATATTGAAAGGCTTCTATCTTCATTCATTGGGCAGAGAGAAATTTTTCAGCTTCGACGTCAATTTTCTCAAAGTGTATTTTTCTGGTTTAGGGACTGCGGGGTCGATCTACGCCCCAGCGATAGGCTGAAGCTCACTAAAATCAAATCTTAGTCAGCTACGCCCCTCCGCGATTTACTCCCGCCACAACTGATACCAGCAGTTACCTGACAGATTGTTTGTTTTGACTCTTAAAATTTAATATCAACCTTCCTCGATGCTTCACGCCTATACCTTTGAGGTGAATTGATTTGCACTGAAGACAATGCTGAGCCTACTTGGTGATGATAGGCAGGTGGTTGCTTTACAGGATGCTCAGTGCTGGAATCCACAGTGGCTCATAGGAAATCCCCCACACTAATATTCAACATGATGGAGGCTTCAGCTATTTTTAGACATTTCACCGCACTTATTACAGATTTTATCTAACAGAATTTATAGAATCAAGGCTATATTATCTTTAATGGTCAACTCTTAATGATATTAGCTTTCCAAAAAACAAGACAACATATTTATAACGTTTGTACTTCACACTGATGATCTTACGGCGATCCTCAAATGAGCTATACTGAGCTACCCTACACCAAGCCGAGGCCCCCTAGGCTTGGTTAAGCCGCCGATCCCTTACAGTTGTTACTTAGCTGGCTCATGGATTGCTGTAAGATTTTAGACATCATTGAGATAACATTCATTAACGGGACAGAAGGAACCAATTGGGCGGGAACATCGGAAAGTAGATTCTCCTGATGCTTAAGAGTATGCCAGCTAATTGCTAGGATGAGTGTTACTTCCAAACAACATTACATTCACACCCTTGCTTGAACAACAGAAACAATCAAAATCAGCGACCCGCGTAATTTAGGTTTTGAAGTATATTTATTATCACCTGACATAGAGCTGCTAGGGGTATTAGTTGTGATCAAGAATGAGAGCGAACAAGGGTTTTGCTTGGCGCCAGGGCACGTTGGCATCAACTTGCTTGCCCAAACCCTTGATCAAAGAGCTAGTCGTGAAGGCTTATTTACTGGGTTGACATTCGTGATCTGTCTCGTTCTCCTTCCATCTGCTACCCTAACCAGGCACTGCATGCGCTTTATCGAATGCTTCTGATAAGGATATCGACGGGTTAGTAGGTATTGTTGGGGCATGGCAACCCGAGCTAGGAGCATATTTGTCCCCGCTGGGCGGAGCAGATCTTGAGCTGTGAGGGGCCAGGTCCGGGTTCGGGCTCCGGTCTCGCACGCCACTTCCCAAATTTGCGCGTCACTACGACAAAAGGCATGATCTAGAAAAAGGAAAGAATAAAGATAAGCGGCTGAGAATGGCTGGGAAAGCTTTCATTGCCGAATGATGATGGGCGTGTGGACATGGTTTAGTTTGTGTGCCTGATGGGGCAGTTTTCCGCGGTTAACCGTGAGTTTCATCTAACTCAACTTGGTAAGAGTAGCTTGTCTGTTCTGAATCGAGATTAAATTTAATCAAGTCACACAAGAAGCAATGAAATATCACAATAATATGCCAATGTATAATTCGACAACAACTGGGTGTATTATCGTCCTTTGCGTATCTACTGAGCGATACTCAGTCTTCGGCATGGACATTGCAGCTTGGGCAAAGTCTCTGATGAGTAGAACCCACTTGGAGGTTGTCCTAATCTGTCAAAAAGAGGATCTCCAGGCATCATGCCCACTGACAACATGCGCTATGGGTCCAGTCCTACCGCTTACTTTCGGGTTAATTGTACATTCACCCCGTTTCCTCAAAGAACACAACGTGAAATGATGGGGTTCTACTCCGCTATCGATCTGGATCTAATATTGAAATTAATAAATGTCCCCGAGATATTGTCGCTGAGGTCTTTTCATTTTCGTCGTTTGGTCGTTATAATTCCCTTTCCTGCGTTGCGAATCAACCTCGTTTGACGATTCTGTCTTTTCCAAGAACAGACAACTAGAATTCTTCTTTTCCAGTCACTAAAACTCGAAAATATACTATTAAGCCATGTCAAGGGCCGCCGGGATTCTATTTAGCCGTTCTCCGATACCGCACTCTTCCCTGCCTCGGCAAGTTTACCACTGCCAGCATATTCGATCTTGCCAACGTCCTCTCATATCCCATATTCGACGACGATACTGCATTACCAACAACGATGTGAAGCCAAAGAAGACCGAGGATCCGATCCCGGTCCCAAATACGATCCCTAACCTTCCTCTATGGCAACGGCTCGGTCCTTTGACTGCCGCAGCGTCTGCTTATGGCCGCTCACAGCGGCGGAGGCCACACACCACCCAACTCTGGAGCTGTCTTGTTATTTATCTCATATCCGATCTTTCGGCCCAGGGTCTAGATGGTGGCGAATATGACCCGGCTCGCACCATAAGAAGCTTGTTGATCGGAGGTGCTATTGCCATTCCCAGCTATCGATGGTAAGTTATAACACACCCAACTGCCAAACAATGTGATTGAGACTAATTGTCCCCAATAGGTATCTCTTTCTCTCCCGTCACTTCAATTACTCTTCCCACATTCTCTCTCTCGCCACGAAAATTACCATAAGCCAAATTGTCTACACCCCTCTTTTCAATACTTTCTTCTTTGGCACGCAAGCTCTCCTCTCCGGGTGCACCCCGACCGAAATAA